ACAGCACACAACCACAACCGCAACACACAACCGCAGCACACAACCCGAGGACCCACAAGCAAAATCGAGAACTACAATACTCACGACCATGGCAACATGCTCCTCACTATGGCATCAAGTCAAATGATTGAAATGTCATGGTGGGGATCACTCGAAGTAAAGTAATTGAGAATGATCCGACATGATCCTACCATGGGTGCGGACAAGTCAGTAACTCCTCTTGATTTTCTCTTCGCGTTTATTTTCTTCTATCTACAGCATGACAGTGTACTTAAACAACACTGTGAGCTAAATATATTTGTGCGACAGCCCTTCTAGCAGACTTACAGTATAGATCAGTATAGTAAGTTTCAGGCAATGTCTGAAAGCACCAGTTGGACCATGTTGGACCCTCTGAGCGCGCAATCGAGGATCTGCGCCTCTAGTGATCTGCAGGGTCGCAACACGGTGGGCGATGCCTAGCGAGGTCATCAGCCCAGAGGTTCATGCTAGGCTGAGCATGGCCGAGCTGAGATCATCCACAGGGCCAACATGTTGATGTCAATTACTAGGTTACCCTGGTTTCCCTTCCTGAACATCCATGATCCACAACTTGATTGATAAACCATCAAAAACCTTCCCCGGTGGTGGGACTTGAGAAATGATTGAATTATATATGATTTTGATGCGACATGTTAATTCGCTTCGGGCATGGTGGGTATTTGATTAGTGGACACAAACGAGGGGGACTCCCAACCAATGATAGGTGGGTCATGACAGAACAAGAAATCTTCAATGGACATGCAGGATGTTCAGCCACACAACACAACCACAGGAACCCAAGTCGCGAGGGCGCCTCGTTCGCGGACTTCAGGTCCAATTTCCGCAATTCTCTCTCTGAGAGGAGCAACTTGGGATCCTCTGAGACGAAGCTGACATGAAGGGGATTTATACAAACATAAATATCCCGGCGGAATTTGCCCCACGGCTTTTGTCTTTTCAAGGGTTTCGCTGCAGCAATACCCGATTTCTGAGATAGAAGTTTGACATTTTTTAATCCTTGGTGCAACCCTTACAGCAACTTATTGTCAAACAGGTGCCCCCTCTGGTGCATTTTACATTCCGGAAATTTGAGGCGAACGCATGTCCAAATTGACACATGCAGACACATAATGACAACCGACAATTGTCATGGTTGTATTGGCGCTAAAAGTTAGTTGCACTTCTTGGCCAATGCCTTATAGCACGGCGAACCATCATGCATGTGTATGCATGTGACATCATCTTCGAAGCACATCCAAACCAATGTGCTCGTCCGGTGGACCGCTCTCGGGACTGTTTTTCCAAGGAACCCCACTGCAATCACTTTACAGTTCTGACCGTCAATGAGTGTCGTACTTGTTGTTGTTGCGAGTAGGCAAGCTTGGGGACATCGGAGAACTTCCGGCCAATATTGGTTGCAAGCGGTGTTTTCAGCGTTGCCAGAGCACGTCGAGCTTTTGAAGGTGCTTTGAGAATAGTCGGTTGAAAAAAAGCTGGCTCAAGTCCAAATGAAGTCACTCTAATCATATTATATAATATTTATTCTAGCGGATTCTTTACCGCCCAGAAAAGCATCGATACGTTTGACATGGACACTTGTTTAACACTTGTGTGGAAATTGTTTGAGTGCAACACAGATGTCGAAACAAGGTGGTGGAGGCTTCACATGGCAATATGTTGTGGAAAGCTTGGCTTCAGGAGGCTTCGCAAATACCAAGTGGCGTTGCGAAGTCTGAGCGACCAGGCTTAATGTTCAATCTTGATTAGTTACCCCTCCCAGATTAATGTCTGCTCCGTGGTTTTTACTTGTTTTAATGTTGTTTTGTTTTTAATGCTTTATGCTTAGTTTGATTTTGTGTCTGCACAGTTGGGATGTAATAATATCTGATTAACGTCTCCTGCAATAGTGTCTATGGTTTTCATTGTTAATTAAATTCTGCTTGTCTTCCTAAGTATGACAATAATGTCAATGTAATCCCCTTCAATAATATAATCCCATACAATAATGTCTATTCTCTTATTTTGCAAATTTATGTGTTTACTACCGTTTTTGATTTACTTTAGAACCCGTTTGATTTCTTTTGATTTCCTTTTGGAATCCTTTTGATCTCTAATGATTTCTCCCTTAATTAATCTTATTAACATATTGGAACAATCTATTCCATAAAGAGGGTAGCCGAGTACACTAGAAGTCTTGATTAATCTCAGCCGCTACAATGTTTTTCTGTTTGATTCATTAATGTTATATTGGTTCTTTATGTTGATCCTTTTGTTTACTTTAAAACCCTTGTGATGTCTTTTGATTTTCTTCTGGATTCCTTTTGATCTTTTACTACTTTCTATGTCCTTTTAATTCCTGTTGATTTCGTATCAATTCCTGTTCATTTCCTTTGATTTTCTCTTGATGTTATCTTTTTCTTTTTTTCGGGGTCCATCAATAGTCAGGAGTCTCATGGATTCGACTAGCGGGGAGGGAACACTGATCCAGAGTCTACATTGTATATCTAACACCAATCATTCAACCACTTAAAATTTCGCTCATTTCGGGGTGTGCCAAAGAAGGGAGACACTCCCTGGCCCAATGGGTTTTTACGGTTATCCGTCCTTTGATCAGGGGAACGTTCACCTCGTCCAAAGAAAAAACGTTGCAGACAAGCTTGCTCAAGTTTCTGACAGGAGAGACTCGGTCCAGACACCAGATTGATGCTTCCAAAATCCTGTTAAACTCCGGTGGCATCCGGTGGCTTGATTTCCATCAAAAGCCGTAGCCGTAGCCAAGCTATTGCTTCAGAAACACAAGGGTATGGACATATGATGACATTATATAGTACACAATATATTTCTGGAGTCCAAAAACACGAACCAGTTCAACCATACAAGAACAGTGATCAGTGATCGCTTGGTCTTTACTTTGCGCTAGAAGAAAAAAAAGAGGTCCACGACGTCCACGAGAAACACTGGCTCCCACGTCCTTGAGGAGAAGCACCTGCGCCGCAAAGCTGCAAACATGATCAGGTCACGAAATGCATTGCCAGCAACACGGAAACTCATCAAACCAGAGTGCCTTGGAAGTACACACGAACTGTTCTGCAGGATGTGAACTGTTCAGACGGAATGCCCTGCTTGGAATGCCCTTCTGGACCTGACCCCATTCGCTTAGAGATCCCATTCGCGTCGCGTGGGATTCGGTGGGATCCTTTCGCGTCTGCCCCGTACCTCCTTTTGGATGCGCTGAAGGAGGCACTCGCCCGACGCAAACGAGGAAAGGGGCGTCACCACAGAGCTCTCCTGCCGAACTAGCTACAGTACACTGGTCAAATTCACTGGTCTTCTTGTTTCTAATACAAACATTGTTCCTAGTAGCAAGGCCAGGCGGCCAGGAGCCCCTAGTAACGTCCTTGCTCCCAGTAGCGATGCCAGGAGCCCCTAGTAGCGTCCTTGTTCCTGGTACAAACCGAATCTCGCCTTCTGGGAGCTTTCGTCAGATTCCGGTAGCAAAGTGGCAAAAGTTTTTTTTTCTTCGGGAGGGTTGTTCTGAGGTGATCCACTCAACAGTTTGTTTAATGTTTCTTTTTCTTCCGATGATGCCGATGTTTATATATGTCCAGCAAATGCTGAAGTTATATGAAGTTATATGTATGAATCATTCTGGTTCAGCCCCACCCTTGGGGCCCATCCCATCCAGTCCTCCTCGTTGGCGGCCGACACAAGCAGGGGGCTTGTGTCACCAGGTTGCCTGCTGCATCTATGGGCAAAGGAATCTTCTGTTCAATGCACAATGTGAATGTAATGTAAGTTCATGCTTGAAAAAGCAAATGACATGGCCAAATGGCCAACTCAAATTCCCCCAATTCAGCCCAATTCACTTGGACGGACAGCTCGGAATTAGAAGAGCTGTTGGACGACCCGCTCACCACACTCACTGCCTCTCCCCCAACGGGCCGGTCTCCCGGTCCGACAGTCCGCGGCCTCAACAAGCTCACCCGCAGTGGCTGACACCCCGTGGTCCCCGCCAGGTCGCGCCAGAGGCCCACGCTCAAATCCGTGCCCTCGGAGCGAGGAGAGGGTTGAAAAGGAGGAGGTAGTCAGTTGGACCCTGTCAATGTGGTGATGCAGGTCGTCTGACTGAAACTCGTCTACTAAACCAGTGAGCTTATCAATGAGTGTATGTGAGATTCCGAGATCCAGCGAGGTCCGTTCAAAGTGCAAAAAAGTAATATCCTCCCGATCTCCCATCAAACCCTGCTGTGCACGTCCGAAGCAACACAGGGTTTCCCCAAATCATATCAAATCCTGAAGGGAACTCATACCAAACCCCTCTGGAAATGGTGGATCTTGGGTAAAAAGCCCGACTTCCAAGAAATGACATTCCAGGATATTCAAAGCCAGCATGACCGAATTGTGGGTGTTCACTATAGCGAAAATCCATCAAACGTGTTGCAAACCGACCGACTATCTCGGGCACCCAAGCCAAACTATATCGGCCCATCAAGCTGGCAAGGCCGCAAACCAGTCGAGCCGCCGCCTCTGCAGGGTCCTCGGTTCTAGATGTTCTACCACGCGAACAGCCGCAGTTCCTGGGTATGTACGAAAGAACAGGTACAGTGTACAGTCGAATGCCTTTTGGGCCCCATGCCCCCCATCTTCAGTGCTTTGGAGGGGTGAAACATCCCTAGTGGCGTCCGAACGCTCCTAGTAGCGATGCCAGGAGCCCCTAGTAGCTTCTTGTTAGTAGTACGGCCAGGAGCCCCATGAACATCAACTCTTCAGGCTCAGGACCTTGAGGGTTCACCAACGCCAGGGCAAGACCCTCCCCTCTATTCCCCTCTCAGGCAGCAGCCTGTGGCAGCACACTGCCTGCAACAAAACGACGTGGTTTGGCTTCATGTCTGTTCCCCCGAACTAGCGGAACTATAGAGGCGGAACTCGCTTGGATTGAAATTGCAACTGCATCACTCACTGCTAGTCTTTTTGAGCCATCACTCATGCAAAAGTCTGGCAAAAGCGGCAGGCGGTTTGCAAGGTTCTCGAGGGACCATATCTGACAGGAGCAGGCCAAGCAAACGACTTCCTTTGTATGAAGTTCGGCCATGAACAACTCGAAGGTTGTCCAAGACCAGGACATCTCCTGGATCGAGTCTGATGTATTCCGTGTTTTCCTCATAGACGCGGCGGATCTCTGCTAGCTCATCATCCTGAAAGTCGCTGCCATCGCCCCAAGTGCAGTGGTAGGGGCGTTCATGGTTGGGCATCTGGTCAAAGATCTCATGGCCATCCAGCCACGAGCCATGCCGATTCAGGACTGAGTTAAAGAAAAGCTCCCCGTAGGTCGGATGCTTGTGAAAAACAGGGCACCACAAAACGTGGCGCAGCCGACGCTGATCATGCCGTTGCAAGATCGAAAAACTGGCCTTGTCATTGCCCTTTTGGAAAGCTTCATCCATAGAAGCAGTTTGGAAAGCGCCCTGCCAAGAGTTGTAGAAGTCTGGTGCCAAGTTCCGCTCAGACTCATCATGTAGATAGCGAATGTACTGAACCCCAAGCTGCCGAAACTTCTCCAGCAATGGTTCTGACAAAGAGCGGTGCACAGCCACGTTGTCTGCCAAAGTGGTCGTTCCATCCTCTTGCGCTTGTTTGACCATGGCAAAGGTAACATACTTCGGGTACTCCAAGGCATAGGCCATCTCATTATGGAACTGAACCGGCAGCTCCTTTGGAGCACCTGCAGCCGAATCCACAAAGCCAGTACCATCTATGGAGCTGCGTACAACACCCCCACGACCATTGTAACTCCCAGTGCTGTTGGGAGAAACACCCATCAATCGCAGAGCTACGATTTCCATGTCACGAACACTGGCAGCATCACCTAAGGAGGCGACTGTATAGCCTTTCTGGGCAATCTCTTCAGTGGATCCATAGGCTCGAAAAGCCAGTCTGAAACCACGTGAAGGGAAGCTCAAACGCAAACAGCACAGCTTGTACATGGCACCCTCTTTTTTTCACTCCAGCTCCAAGTCCAGATTGAGCCAAAAGCAGTCAAAGGCATCGATTTTCAGAGAGACAACCACGAGTCTCTGATTTCACTGTTGCCAGAAACACGCTGGACTCTGGAATGGGATACAAGTGTACCTCCTCTGAAAGTAAGGCTTAGCCATGCTTAACCTGTGCAATGCAAAAACCTTTCACGGCACTTCCCAGCCACACCTGCCACAATACATCATCTGCTATCATCACCTTCATTGGCTTTGCATCTGTTTGCCCATTGTAATTCGCTTAATTAGACGCGTCTTCTGGTGGAGTCTTTATGAGTCATTCCTCGATGACCCAACCCCAACTGTGGCATCCCCAACCCTCTGGGTCCAGCCTTTGAGCCATGAAGTCACTGAGACCACGTCGGCCTCTGGACGGCCAGTTCCCACACCCTTTGAAAGTGACATCCAACCCGAAGAAATCCAGTCTCGGATCCAGTCGTGGTCATTTTCGATGAAGTGAAGACCTGTCGAAAGACCTTCCAGACCTACGAATGAATCCTTCATTTGCATGGGGCCAGTCAAAAGTGTCGAAATCTGTGTAGCCTGCGGAAGTGCCAGTCCATATTCACTTGTTCTTTCCGAATGGGTCTATTTCACTTCTACAAAAATGTCGGAACTGAGTTGCAACCCAACTGCTCTGCTGTTTATTTTGTCCGTTCGGAATTCGCATTTGCTTCACGTCTGTTTTTCAATGAACACAGACTAGATGCGCGTTTACTCTTCTTAATGTTGTTTAATCGCAGTACTTAATTAATGTCACTGCAACCTAAAATAATTACCGAAGTCCCTGATCTGCAGGTCTGCAGGGCAAGGGGTCGCTGGCGTCACCTCTCGATGTTGTTCGGCAGGTCCCAACTGATCTGTAGGCAGTTGCGCCAGAAGCGGTGGACACCCCTGGCCACAGCACATGCGATCGCGCGTTTCAATGCAAACCGTGTTTCATCGTTTTTCTGTGGGTTGTCTGGCAGTTTTCGTTTTGGCAAGTAATTAAGGTCCCCAGCAACTAAACGCGGGAGACTTTGGGAACCCTTCAAACAAATTCCCACCATTGAAAGCACGTTTCACTGTATATTATATATATATTGTATACATGGCATTAAATGTCTGGAAGACCCTGACAATGAACTCTGCTGTAGACCTGGGACTGTTCGAGGGTTTGTGTTCCTTCCTTGGCAGGAGTACAATTCAATATTAACATGATATAACATCGTATAATAATATGGCCATAGCCATCCATAGCCTATGTGACACAGAGCTGTCATAATTCTCGTTTTGTGCACAATGATCAATGTATGGGAAATCAACTCCTGGTATCACTTGCACCGTGCGATACCACGCATTTTTTTCGCCTTGTCACAAAAATGAAAGCGGCCCAACTGCGGCACGCAGTTTTGAGATCAATCGTGGGCCTGAAACCTGAGGTAGCTACGGTCAAAAAAAAGTGTTTCATCCCACTGATCTGGATCACCTGGCTGTGCATCTGGGTCCAATTCTAAACAGTCCTAGTCAGATAGTCCTTCGTGTAGTAAAATGATGTAAAATGTAATAATCACACAAACCCGTGGGAACTGTCCGTTTCGGATCAAAACGATTGAGTCACAAGAGGTAATGACGCCCCTGCTAAAAGTACAGCGTGCAGCATGATAACTTGCAAGCACCAGCTAAAGCAGAGACCCGCACATTGGATTTTGGTTGATTCTGTGCCTCTTCCACAGAGAAGGTAATCAAATCAAAGCGGGACTGCGACACTGTCTTGTTAAAGAAAAGACTCAACACTCAATCCAATCGATCCAATGATCCCGGTCTACGACGATGAACGTGAGTGTGTGCGGAGGGGGGCCGGCGTGTTCCTGAGAGGGACTCTGCTGAGCGGTGGACGATGCCGGTTTGCCGTCACATTGCCAAGAATGCACCAAAAAACAACCAATGATGTACCTTGTAAAAAAGGCTGACAAAGTAATGCATGTCGGAAACCCATGAATAGGCCTATCTCACGTCAGCAATGTACAAAAAAAAGAAGTGCTGGCTCGTCAAGCATGCCCCAAAGTCCTATCTCCTTGCTCTAAAAAGACTAAGGAAAAAGCGTATGGCTTGGGTGCCAAGTCAAAGGGGTCCCACATTGCATTTGGATTCAGATTGGTTTAAAAACAGCGTGGATCGGAGGAAGGCGGAGGGAAGAATCTGTCCACAAAGGCCTATCTCATGAGTGCGGGTTTGTGCATTGACCCTATTTCCTGCCCTACCCCCAAAATACATGTGATCTCATGTGATTGCTGTAGCGGTTGCCTTTTGCATCCTTTTGCAAGGTCCCATCTCATCTGATCTACATTTGATCACTTTTGCATCTTAAGATCCCGTCTCATGTAAGAGTACTGGACTGTTCCGGCTTCAAAAGTGACTTGAGGCGGTCCAACACAGCACTTTGGGTAGGACAAATTGATGCTGCGTTGTGTCCTCTTTCCCTCGGGCTTGCTTCCATTCAAGGCCTTCCGTGTTGCTTTGTTTCTAGGGGATGCCCAACCAATTAAGCTGTCACTATCAACTTTAATTAGTGACGTTTCCTTGGCAAAAGCCAGGGAATGAAATGCCCACAGCAGTCAGAGGTTCTGTGGCTATTGTGGCTGTGTTGGAATTTCACTCGTGGTCCGTGGTCCGATCCTCTCCCTTTTTACTCGCTCCAGAAAAACACCGTCGGACCCCAGCTGCACCCCTCTCGGTGCCCGGCTGGCACCTCCAACTTTGCAGCCCAGTGCTCGACGATGTCAGCCTTGTGGCGATGGTGAACCACCAAAGAAAGAACATCGTGTGGTGGTGGACAGCGAAGCATGAGAAACATGAGCATACTGCATACCTATGATAATTAAAGCCAAGTCTCTGATTTATATAAATCCTAATCTGCTGGCACACGTTGGTGTGCAGCACACCACAAAAGCTCTGAGTCCAGAATGAAAGTGTGTAGTTCAAAGGACGTTCAAGGGTTGCGAGACTTCATACAATTTACAGAAACTGGCCCACAAGCATAGTTACAGCTCCTGCTCCACCGTTGCTTGTGAAAATGGTCAAATCGTTTCAGAACAACATATTGCTTGTGAATCAAACATTAGCAATGCACAATCACTTCGTAACATCACAACCTGACACGGGTCGGCTGCCAGGAGCGCATCTTCAGCACGACTTAACCCTCCACCCCAAAAGGCAAACGAAAGGCAAGGCTACTCCGCTTGGGGATGCAAACGGGGCTCCGGGAGTGCTCATCAATCCAGCCTTTGTGAGTTTTCCCTAGTGTTGAGACACAAATGTCAACCTTTCGTCGCTGACTTGCTCCGGGAAGCTTCTGTGGCGGAGTGTTCAGTCCTGGCGCTTCAGTGAACTGCAGGATTGGGACCCGTAAACATTGTCAGTTTGGAGGTCGACAATGCACTGGACGGTCCGTTCCATTGGTCCATGGGTCCATGGGTCACGTGACCGTGTCACGGACATCGATCTTCGGTCCGTAGCAAGGGCAAAGTTAGGCTCGACATTGCTCAAGGTTCCAGGGCTACCAAAACTCGCTGGTAGCCGCAAGCACTGCGCAACACGTACGACGGTGACGCTTCCCTGAAAAGTTTGACGGATTTTATCAAACTGTGAAACGGTGTAATCCGTCTTGCAAGTTGGCAAGTCGACCTTCAAAAAACAAATCCGAAACCATCTTGTTTGACATTTTACAAGTAAACAAGTCGATCATACCCTCTCAGACCAGCGGAACTGCATCTCTTTTTCTCCGACGCACTAAACGCCTCTGACACTGCACTCCAGAACTTTACAGTTTACAGTAATTATGTTGCGTCGACTCAAGTGAATTCCCCCCCTTTGGGGGCGGATTTCAAAACACCACAGAGATCAAGCATGCCCAAACCGCGAGTGAACAATTGATGATGATACTAGATGCTGCTATGGTCTGATTTCCTCATAACTTAAGGAGTCAAACGTCCAAAACAATTCCTGAGGGCATATTGAAAGAACACCCGAGTTTCTCGGGGAACGCGCTGTGCGCCTGCCGCACCATGCGGCAGGCATCCAAGATTCGAATTAATGGTCCGCGTTCTGCTTCAATCCCGTTCGGTCTCAACTGAGACCGCATCGGAATGCAAACGTGACTGGAATACACAAGGCAACATTCGCACGGAACAGGCAGGGAGACATGTCTCTACCATATTGAAACTTATTCATCGTTTTCATGTAAGGTTTCGCTTTCCACAAACAGTGTGGCCACACTGTGGCGGATTTCAGGGTAATTCGGTGTAAAATGGTGCAAAGAATCTGGTTTAGACATCGTTCGCATGGTTCGATCCAATTGGCCTGTAGTTGCGGTGCTGTGCGCGTTCACCTTCCAGCAACAGACCAGTAGTTTTTAATACGCGGTCCCTCTCCCCAAAGATCTACTAACCTCAAAGACTTTAAAGCATCTGGGACCGACAAAAACTTGTCGTTACCTGAGCTGCTCGACTTTTCAGATAGCTCCTATTGCAAAATGGTGTTTAAAAAAAAGAACGAAGGGTCGTGGTTCCCAACAGGTGCCCCTCAATGGTGCCCAACAGGTGCCCTCTCTCTGACTCGCATTCGGAAACATTCCAGTTAAAAGAGGCGTGCAAACACACACCATGACTTTGAAGGGGCGTCCATTTGTGACAAGGACATCTTTTAAAATTGGCAATAGACTCATACACTGCCAAAATGTGTCTATTGTTTATAAAGGCGTGTGTACTCATATCTGAGAGGAAGCTTCAGAAGGAAACCTTCCCATTTCAGGTGTAAAGGAAATCATTTCAACAGGGCAAAATGTTTGATTGTCTTTCATAGTTCGCATCAACAAGACATCCTATCATTCTAATCTAAGATGCGGAAAACCATACAAATCCTATCATATAACTGTACTTACAGTAAATGCTTAATATGATCTGGGAACTAAATCATTACATATAACTACATATAAGTCTCAAGCTTCTTCAAAGAAGCTCCCTCCCACCCTCATGCGGGGAGCTTCCTTGAACGAAGCCTGAGCCCTTCTGCATGTAAGCCTAAGAAGCTACTGACTAGTAGCTTACATACTTAGGCCAATCACCCCACCCCTCGCCCGTGATTCGAAAGCTCAAGCCAACCAACCTTTAAAGAAATACCACATTGGCACGCTATATTCAATGAGCGAGAGCGGGGAATCAGAATACTTTGTCAAGTTAGCTCAAACCTCAACTGGTCACATGTGTGCTCCTAAGTGGCTCTCCTCTGTGTGCCCTGACTGCTCACATGGGCTCTCCTGTGTGTTTATATATTTTGTATGCTCATATCTTGCCTCATGCTTGTGCTCCCAAAGGAGCACACATGTGACCTACACGGATCTTACAATGGCCCAGCTGACTCCGTCTGACATGTTCCACTTCAGCCAATGCCTGTTTCCGTGTTCAGGCTCTGGAGCTGCCAAGCTCGGCCAAGTTGTGCCGGATGCAACTCCTAACTAACTATCTAATTCATCTAATAATGGCTCCAACACTGATTGGCATAGGAACAGTCAAGAAATCGATGTCCAAGGAACAAACAGTGATAAGACCGGTGGCTTCAACTCCTTCCTTTCACCCAATTTACCCCTATCTCTTTGAGCCATAGCAAAACATGTAGGGCATATGATGACATGCGGGGCCCGTTCACTTTGGCACAGGCCTGCAGCTTGAGGCTGGCATGCCTGCCCAGACCTCGAGGTCAAAAAAGGGTGACATCTGCTCACTCACTCTTGGCAAGAAAACGACATCATGTTCCCATTCTGTGTAGATAATTGGATCTGCGCAGAATCCCTTTGGAGCCGCACTGAGCATTTTTTGGGACACCGGGACACCCAAACAATTTGATTGGTTGGGGAACTCTTCTGGCGTTTGCCAATCCATGCTTATAAAGGCATACCTACATACACGACAAAATGGTCCAATCTCTCTTAAGGCTATCCGATATCCCTGAAAAATGCTGTGTCGACTGACCCAATGCCCTGAGAACGCACTATCCCGCTCAGGCCTCTCTTGATGGCACTGTTTCTCCTTTCAAGACCTGACTCAAGACAAGGAAAAAAGGTCTTGGCCTTCCCTACGAGCTTGCTCGTGAAGAGGCTAGCAAAGGGTTATCATGCCCCGTGCGGGTAAAGTTCACTCTTCCATGAACGCACCCTGCTTTTTATTTGTATGCTGACAAATCGTCTCCACGTTGCCTGCGTGTGTTCCATGAGCACCGCCTGCCGAAGTTACAAAGGCGCACAGCATCGGATACCGAAACGGAGGCTCTTTGTTCATACTACCCTCGCAATCGTAGTCATGCAATCTGAGCATCCAAGAGCGTTTTCATGTGTTTACTTGTTGCTTCGTGGGGGTTGATGATTGATGATATAGGACTGGGTGATCACCTTTCGACGAACAGAACAGCAAGGCAGCTTTGGGCCTCATCCTCGATCTCCGAGCCAGGCATCGCAAAAGATCCTAGGCGCGGTGATTCGTACCCAGCGCACCAAGAAAAGGATGAAAACCAAGTTGGATAGAAATATACAAGTAGGGCAGCAATACACCACTAGGACTAGATGTTTTCTTCTTGAAGGTTCCAAATTGACAACCCTTTCCCTGTAGAATCTTGCAAGACACTCAATAATTTTGTCACCTCACACAGCCGAAGTTCCTCCCTCCTCTAAAGCTGTTTAATTGTCATAACATGATGTATCTAAAGAGGGTGATAAATGACTGTCCCACACTGGCCAAGCAAAATGGACTTCTCAATTCGACCGTGGCTGATCCAATCTGATCCACATCAATGTTGTAAGACATCGGTTTGTGTCTTTATGGTTGAACTTGATATATAGTTGAAGCAATTATGGCTTTCATTTTGGTGTCCCCATTTCTAGTTCTTGGGGGAGTTGAACTCAAGAGTGCCTCTATCAACATGCTGCGTTGGGATTCGACGGAAGACGTCAAAGGTCGACCAGCATATTCTGGCCTTTAATTTATAGGCCAGTTAATAGTTAATAATAATCTATTTTGCTTTTATTTTATTGGTTCATCTGTGACCCCAAAGACCAAATAAGAAGAGGAAAATAAAAGCAAAATAGTGGCCATCAATTTATTGTATTCTTTATTTAAATTAATGGCCAATGAATGATTATTATATGGCCAGCAATCTTTTCATTTATATCTTATCTGCTGGCCAAAGTTTATATTAATATATGGCTTTTACAATAATTTCTGTTCACTCGCTTTAGCCACTTAGGCAACTACACGAAATGCATCGACAAAATGGTCCGATTCAAATGCATCATCAACAGTAGAACAGTAGAACTAGTGATTAGATGTGATTAGTATATGTGAGGTGCACTGGCTACGGCTACTGCGGTCAACAGTAGCACTCCCAAAAATCAACATAGGACTCATCACGCGCACCACGCAATAGCGGAGGTCACCGTGCCAAACTGGCAAGCGACCAACGTACTTGGAATCCATGCACACTAAGGTCAGAAGCGTTTTGCAAGCTGCGCAGGCTTCTGTACCGGAGACAATCACAACAAAGGACATGGTCAAACATCATGCCCACAAAGCATTTACTCACCTGCCTGGTCGTCCCATTTACAGATGCCGCGGTCGGGTTTGGACGAACAGCGTACGGGCCCGGCCTGGCAACAGCGCTGCACCATCTGCGATCCTGGCAACGCTTGGCGTCCCAGGCCGGACCATAAAGAGTCGATGTGATCTGCTTAAAACTGTGAGCACCAATCCCAGTGCTCATGTGTAAAAAGACAACATCCTACCAATCTCCTGAACTTTGGGCCCACCTTCGGCTGTTTTCACGGTGTTTGTTCACTTCATGGGCTCTCGCCTCGTCGGTGCAAGCTTGATGACCATGTTCTCCACGGTATGTCCAGTGGTGTCGCACCTCGGTCGACCGCTTCTCGAGAGGCCGAGGCCGCTCGTTGACGCTCAAAGCGTCGAATGATGAACATCGAATGCCTTTGCGGGCATACTGCATACATAGAGTGCAAGTGAGACGGTCAGGTGGGACTATGTGACACTTTGTGTATCATATAATATAGAAAACAAATCATAGTGGAATTATAGTGTCATAACACATTTACACAGCATGTACAAGTCCTACCCATGCGCATGTATCTGTCTGCATCAGATTATACCCTCGCACGTACCTTGTTTATCTATATTCCCAGTCACATGCACTTTCCAAGGTCAAGCCACCCACAGCCAATTGCAACATGGTCACCTGGCAGAGTGTTTGAAAAGCACATTTGGATACGGGCACTAACCAGTCACTGTTGAATTGCAACAAAAGTACACTATTCCCTCAAACTATCCAAACAGGTCCTCTATCGCTCCTACATGACACACCCAACACAGACCTTCAATGAGAATCCAATTCAAGATATGAGCGCCTATGGTCAGCAAGTCATATTCGACCATAAGGCCACTCAAATAGCACTCCTTCGGGCAGTTTGATGAACTAAGAATCGCTGGAGCCCTTTGAATCTTTCTCGGTGGCATAGGCATAGGATTGAACAAAATCGAAAATATCTCAAACACACAAAACACAAAATCTTCCCAATCACTGTGCAAGGCATAAAGTATGCATGAAGGCCAAGGGCTGTCACGCCGACGGGAGACTCCCCATCCGTCCTTGCCAACCTTAGCTCCTAGAGCACGAGCCAACAACACCTCGAATCACAGCGTCTGCAGACTGGTTGTAACGCTCCTTTCTCATTCGCAGGTGTTCAAGAAGCACAAACTGACAAAGAACGACATGTTTGAGAGTTAGCGGAATCGATATGAATCAATACTCTACACAAATCAGTAGCTTTTCAGCTGTTTCTCTCGCACGGAAACCCATCAGGAGAAAAGTTACTGCGGAATGCACCAACTTCTACTCAGGAGAATCACGTTGTGTGCCCGATACGAATTCAACTTGGCAACCTCTGTTCACAAATTCCATGGGATCAAGTGCTTTCATCGGAATATCACTGTCAATCGAGCGATTCGCCCCTCGGCAAGCCTCAAAAACACTGCCTCGAAAACTATCGTGGAGCGCACTTATGCCTGCGACAAGGAGTTCGATGCTCGTGGTGATGATCAAGGACGTTTACCTTTAACATCCTTTAACACACACCTTTTGAGGCGCATCACGGGAGAAACATGGTGACTCAGACTCTTTTGGGAGGGTAGAAAGCGGGCAACACCTAGAAGAAGTGAATAAGAGTGCTGTTGCTGGGTGGGAAAGCATGTCGAGTTTGAGTGGAATTGCCTACAGGCGCCGAGAAATCCTCAATCATGCACCTTGTGTGTCTTGTGGAACACCTGGACTGAACCATCCCAGTGAAATTCAATGAACTTATGAGGTGCTTCAGGGTGAGCTGCGATGCCTGGACACTTTTGCAGAGGGATGGCAACAAAGTGAGAAAACCCCTGCTCAACCCCTGCTTAATGCAATCACAGCTGGGCTCTCTTTCATAGATGTTCATTCCAATGGCCCATCTAGTCTTGACCAATTGATGTGCATGTTGCTTGATGCAAAAAATGGACAGCAGTTGCTGGCCTGGCTGCTCTTGTTATATACTATCTGAACTATCTGGGGATGCAACAGTTGGAGTATTCTGATGCATTCCTGTTTGAGTCTGCTCCAGATTGTTGCTGAATGGTGTGGGCTGAATGAAAGCTAAGGACAGTCGTTCGGTCCAACAAACACGCTAAATCATGCTAACAGCAGTGCTAACAGCATGATACTGCTAACTAGTTGCATAATGCTCATGAAAAGCATCCTGCACAAACTGGAGCCCTGAAACATGTTGCATAGCGGGAAGCCCTCTATCTCTCAGATGGGGCAGGAGTTTGTCCAGGCGAAGATCCCCGCTCCACCCGACCGGAAGAGCACCTCGTCCACAAATGGAGATGCACATCCAACAGGTCTCGGTGCACCGGAGAAGGGAAGGACAACAAAATGCAAGAAAGAAAGGGGTTCATTTACATCCATTGGACCATTACACCCCATCACCTACAACAATTGGACCATCTAATTGCATCCATTCTAGTCGCATCTGGACTCGTTAGTCAGTCCTCTCTCCAACTCATCTTCCCTACAAACTGTGCGTTTGCAGCATCGGGACATGGTAGGAGCCGAAGAACTTGTATTCACCCGCCTGCAGTGGCTGTCCAAGCCAAACCCGAAGCAGCATACTGCTCAGAAAACTGACAATGCGAACAGCATGCTGCTTTGCTACTTTTCAGTGTTTGAGTGTTCATTCACCTCAAACTATAGCTTGGCTTGGCACTGTAACTACGAGTAAGCTCAGCTGTGTTGCAAAACCAACTAGAGCAAATCAATCCAAATCACTAGATCACTTCCAATGCAAACTCATAACTGCAATAGCTCATAAAGGCGAGTGGGCAAATGCAATCTTGAATTAATGCGTATCTTTCTTGAAGTGTGCGCCTTATACCTGCCAATGACAATCCACTTGAGCAAAATGTTCAGTAGGAGCCTTAAGCACGAAAGCACGCTCAAATGCAGATAAACCACACTTTGTGTTGAAAAAACATACTTCCAATGGATGCCACCAAAGCCACAGAAAAAGTTCGATTGAATTGAAGACCTGACATGGCCGCATCGCCGCATAGCGCAAGAGTTTAACCCCAGGTGACATGTTCAACCGAGCCACAAAAGGAGTCACGAGCAGCCCTGTCAATATGCCTTCCTTGGCTGTCCGGTTGTCACAAAGCTCCCTCAATGACTCAAAGACAGCAGTCGGCAGTGTTGCTTTTTTTGCCTGGTCCATCCTGGTCCAGTTTCCACTAATTGTCCTCGTAAAAGGGACTAATGCAGAAGAAAACATCTTTCTGGAGTCTGAAGCCAAGGTTCGCTTTCAAAGTCCCAGAGTGTAGTTACTCCAAAGTACGTGACCACCCAAGCAGCTGTTGGCAATGGGCTGGCAAACCTGAATGAAGCCAGAACAATCAACAAACTCAGAAAAGGCTGTCGAAGGCTTCTCACCACCCCAGCCAGACTCTATTAGATAAGAGACGACCAATGGGGTCCTATGGGGTCCTCGTTTAAGGGTTCCCCAAGCCTCCTTGTAACATTTGTGATATGTACGCATCTCTTGAGACCGGAAGCAAACTGGGTTCGCTGGGTTGGACACTCACGCACAAACTGACGCTGTGCTTCTTTTCCGCCCGCCAGGCGGCAGGATGACCAGAAGGATGACCAAGTTGAACCTGTCGCATGGCCGAATGATGTGGCTTTTGGGCTCCAACAAGGCTCGAAGGACTCTTTCACTTAAAGATGCAACGTACGCCTGCGCCTCCACACACGGCACTCTTTCACCCCCCATCCCTCGTCCCTGCATCATCCACTCAACATCAACGTAGCTTCATCCGAATCGCAGCAGCACAACACAGCACGAAACGACCAGGGATATTGAGCTATTATCCACATCATCTTTCCGGCACCCTCTGGCAGTTTCCATTGCTAAAGGTAGCTCATGTAATTACAGCATTACATTCACAATGTGTATGAGAACTCGATGTGTTTGCTACACTGCCAAGATCTTTGTCTCGGTCACACCTATTTCAATCTTACGTGCTGCTGTTCTTTGAGTACAGTAGATGCCTCCACCAGGTAATTGGGCTATCCAAATCCTGCATAGTCTTGTCCTCCAGCTCCTCAAACGGCAAGGTTGTGATGACTGCGCTCCTTTGTTCCAATAATTGAAGCTTGAATCTAGTCAAAATTGCCTTCTTACCATGTCTCATGTGTAGCTTTGTTCTCAAACTGGGAGAATCCAGCATCTAAGGGTTTCACCCGCATGGATGGTGAAGCAAGGTAGTCGCGCAAATGCATCGACCGGCCTGGCTCAGGAGCTCGTGGGGTGCACAGATTTCACAGCACCTACAATATTTGATCACATCCAAGGATATATATATATATAGTTATATAATGTTATATATATATAATATATATATATATTATAGTTCACGAACAACATCCTATACGGCCTGGGAACCATGGCAAGTGCTTGTCCGTTTGTATTCATGATAGGGTATCCCGGTATCCCTTTATTCTGGACCCATAGGAACGCTGGAGCTCGCCCATTCCATATCAAAGGGCGAGCTTGAACGGCCAACTCTGTCTGACTCAGATCCGGGTCCCTCACCTCGCTGATTCCCGGAATGAATGGCCAGCGGAGGGTAGTAACCTCACAATGGACCAGGTCGTGCAATCTGCGTCATGTGGGGATGTGCTAGGTGTAGGTAGGAGCACACAGGGATTCTCGCAACTGAACCAAGCCACTCCCTGCTGTGGCCAAGGTGTAGGTTCCCAACACTGCCTGAGCTTGGTCCGGAGCAATCAAAATGACCAGGTGAACAGCTGGATAGCCTAAACGAAGCATTGAAAAATGAAAATGGACAAAGTGATGAACCCAAACATTCCCAAACAAGGCAGTGATGGATGTTTGGGTCCAGCTTGTAGGGTCTGAGCGGTAGAATCCTCCTATCACCAAAGGATACATAACGATGGATGGGTGCCGCACCGAAGTTGGCTCTTAAAGTTGACCTGGGATCGTGACTTCAACCTAATTACTCTCTATCACATCGCGTGATGTCTTGACATCTCTTGAAGAAGCGCTTGCATTATTCATTTGGTTCCGATACTTTTAGGGAAACTGAACTCCGTTGGAAGAACATCAATGAGCAACACTAGGACAGCTGGTGTGCACACAATTTGGACACCCGAAGATGTTGACCTCCCAGGGTCCCGAGTCCGAATCGAAGGGGTGCGAAAAAGCGTTTTCAATATCCATGTAGTGATGTAAAACGTGTTGATGTAATATGTTGCCGTGTTGATGTGTACTTTGAAGGCTCATCCTTTAGATCTTGGCCCCAAACTGCCTGCACTACATTGGACTACTAGGAGGTATATACTATCATATATAACATCCACGCGGAGGAACTGGAACTGGAAGCAAGCATGATATACCTCCCCGCAATACTTGACTCTCGTGTCGTCAAGATGCCCGTTCAGCGACGGTGACACCCGGCAGGAGCGTGCAATGATCCAAAACGTTGGCCCCTCGGCAGATTCGGATGTCTGCATAGCGTTGCTTTGGTCCTGACAGTAGCGGCAGTCAGGCAATAGACGGATAGCTGTGGACTCTATGATCTTGACGCATTCTCACTTCTCCCCAAGATTGCCTGAAGCTATCAACACATCCACAAACAGGCCTCGTTGCTGCTCCATTTTCCTGCTGTACTCCAGAGGCACCCAGGGTGCGTTCACATCACTGGCGAGCAAGACTTTGCTGCCAAAGACCACATAATCATCCACATGTATGCAGTCGTGTTCCACCATATCCAACCTTCAGTATGCAAAATCTTGACTTCAAATGGACTCAATCAGGAGCCCACCGGACTTCTGGTGGGCAAGGGGCACTAGACCTACAGCATGCGACAGCTAAAGCTACAAGGGACTCTTTGTCTAGCTTGGGGGTTGAAGTTCATATCCTTCTGATCTGGCTGGTGGCGTCAACCGACCTGCTCACCTGCTCCCAAGCAAAAGGTTCGCAGGTTCTCTATTTCAACCTTTTCCATCTTCTTCCAAAACTGCGTCCAGGGAGCTGATCGATCTGCACCCGGTGGCCGATCTTGGTACCCAAGGCTCGGTAGAGCCACGAGAGGAACTCGGTATTGGTAAAGAATTGGCAAAGCTCCTGAAATGGCCGTTGGGCTCTGGGCCATGGGGGGCCGGTTGGCATCACTCAAAATCACAGGAGAAACATGGTTGCAAGCACCAAAGTTCAAGGCATAGTCACCGAAGTTCAGTTAGTTCCACCTAGTTCCACCTAGTTACGGGATGCATCAGAGTTCGGCTATCGCCCGTCCTCGAAATCATGATTTTCCGATGCACGGCCGTGGACCCAAGTCTTCCACTCATTCCAATGACTGATTTGATCCTTCTTCTGCTTTCGGAAATCGCCTGGCATGCCACGCGAGAAATTGGATTTGGGTCCGACTGGTCCCCCGATTTCATCGAGGCTCTTCGTTGAAACACGTGGCGTCGTTCTTACTGGTTCCGTGTTTCGCGAAGTTTTGGGCATCGCGGTCGCAGATCCCACGGTCGCTGAGAGGTCCCGCCTATCAGAATCCACTTTTGCAGAACAATGACGACCGCCCGAAAGAAGTTGATCGGATGCATAAATATCCATGCCAAACAAACACACCAAAGGTAGTAGCCGTACTCGGGAGAATACTCCTCAAAGCGGTAGTAGGTCCAGGCCAGGATGAAATAGGTTGGATAGAGCCTCTCGAGTCGGCTGGAAATCAAGGTCCCCAGCGAGATCTCGTTTAAAAATCAACTGGAACCCACGACCTCGAATGCACTCATGCAATCGAAAAAACACGGCCAAACATTGTTTGACACTCTTGTAACACACTCTTGTAGGGCAGTCTTGTAGCACTCTCTTGTGACACTCTTGGACGCTCTTGTGGGACACACTTATGTAGGACCCTCTTGCAGGACACTCTTGTGGGACACTCTTGTCGGCTAGGACTCTTGTGGGACGCTCTTGTGAGACACCCTGGTCTCTTGTGGGAAACTCTTGTGGGACAGGCTTGGCGCTCTTGTAAAGCACCCTCTTGCAGGACTCTTGTGGGGCACTCGTGGGACACCCGTGTGGGGCACTCTTGTGGGACACTCTTGCAGCGCACTGTTGTAGGGCACCCTTGTAGGATGCTGACGGGACAGTCTTTGGGACAAGGCCACAGCCGCTGGCAGTCCAATCCCGATGGCACAGCGACCTCATGACTCCCCATGCTTCCCTTTAAAAGTTACTACATCATCACATCTTCATGTGTTCAGACATTTTGCACAGCGCCACACGTTTGGACTGACTTTGAAGACTTTACGGAGCACACTCACATCAACCAAAGTCGCTTGAAGGCCCTGAAAAGCAAATCTCAATGGCACAGCGACACGCAACACCTCCAAAAGACCACCCTGCAAATGCCAATCCCGGTGGCACAGCGGAACAAAACGATGATTTCACAAAACACCGCACCTGCGCAGCAAACGAATCTGACACTTCAGGCTTCCATCCAAAGCCTCCTTCAAAAGCTTCCCCCAACGGCAGGGCCCTATCGATCATTCCGACTACTGCAATCGGTTGCAAACGGTTGCGAGCGGTTGCGGCCACGAAAGCAACGTCAGCGAATAATGCTCTACCCTCGGACTCCCAAAGTTGAACGAGAACCCTTCGCTACGCATTCTGCAATAACAAAACACATACACCCCCACGCGTACACACACACAAAAATAAAAATACAAAAAGAAAGATGGGTCAGAGCCCCTATAAGGCTGTGTCCTTTCTTTTTAAAGCAAGTCTGTACAGTAGGTCGGTCAAAAGCTGGGACTGACTTCGGACAGCGCAGCATCCAAGTGAATGTATGCGTGAGAAGGCCAAGGTGCGGGAGAACCTCCAGGATAAGCACTGCAGGCATGCCGAACAGAACCCGCAGAAGACTTTGTCTGTGTTGAAACGTTTCCTTGGAAGCCGTCGCGCTGTCGGCTGGGGGGTCCATCCACCAGTATAGAATTGTCCTGCATACCCTTCCTGCAATTCAAACAAATGTTGTCATCAGATCAAGCAACCCCAGGGTGTCCGTTTGGTCTGATCGTTTTCTGTGTAATATGACATACAGCAACTGCTTGAACAACATCTTCTGGGTTTTCCAAATGTTGAGCTCCATCAGTCTCCTGAAATGTGGTTTCCTTTGCTTAATCGCACACATTCTTATCCGCTGGTCCCAATGTCAAGCTACCTGTCCATCTCTCTCCAAACCCAAATGAACTCAAAACCCTTGTGCCAGCATCTCGGTCACATTGAGGCACCCTGTGTTTCATCATGGTCCCTCTCACCAGGCCAAATGCCCCAAATGCACAAGATCTCCCACAGTCTAAAGCCGACGCAATGAAATCAGCCGCAAAAGTGATGATCAAATTGCAAAACATCAAGAGTTCACAAAAGTCATTATCAAAAGTTCACAAAAGGGCACCCATTAACTAAATCCCTTGTTGACTACTGTAAATTACAACTCATTGTATAATTTGGTCCACCCATCTTGAAAAAGCTACCAGAGTTGCTGCCGCAACTCAGTCCGATTGAACCAACTGATAGCTTGAATCCTTTAACAACTGATAGCTTGATGTGATTCCTGCTGTATACTCTTTTACTTTATACCTTGCCGTGTTCTTTATTGATCTTAGTTGAACCTTTCCTGGTTCCTTTGGAAATCCTTTGGCTCTTCCTTTGGAGTTGCGTCGAGCTTGCTTTAAGTCCTTTGAATCCTGTGTTTGTTGACTTCCTGCTAAGAACTTACGCCCTGACTTTGGTGTGAATTTGGATTCCAGCTGGCATCCTTCAGCTGTTGAACATCCTTTAATTCTTCCTGTTGATTTGCTTTGAGCTTGATGTGATTCCTTGTGGTTTTCAGTTTATACCAATCACGTTTGACTTCCTTCTGTTTGACTTATCTGTTGGTTCCTTTTGACCTTTTTGAGTTTTAGCTATGTGGCTCCTGATCTCCGTTTGTATCTTGTCCTTCTCTGATTGTGATTATTTTGCATGTGATTCTAGTTGAAATCTTTCTTGGTTCTTTTTGACTTGTTTTGAGTTTGTCTTGATATTATGTTTTGATTTGAGTATATGTTGATCTCCTTCTGGGCCTTGCTTGACTAAGTCTGCTTAATTCCATGTTGGATTTTGTTTGATGAATTTCAGGTATTCCCTCTGAACTGCTTTTTGATTCTATACATACTGACACACTGAAAAATACAATGCCAGTTTGTGATTTGGTTATGGGTTGTTTATAGATAAAATGCCTGCACTAGAATGCCTGCACAACGGGTTACTATGCCTTATCAAATCACTTGCCGAAAGGCATTCAGTGACATTGCCTTCTTGAGAATATCTCTGAGAAAAAGGCATGCTAAGACATTGTTTAGGTTCCCTTTGATTTGGTCAATTAAATTCCTTTTGATCCCTTTTCATATGTATTTCTTTTTGACCCGTATTATTGATTCCCATTTAAATCGCTTTTGATTCCTATTGATTAGGGGTATTATAAATCAAGATCCTACATTAGACTGACTGAAAGATAGACATGCAACGGGAGGACTTCTGAGCCAATGGGACATTTGCCCGCAAACCCTCGAAGTTGCAGGCGTTCTATGATCAAGAGTTTTCCTGAAATGGCCGGGCATTCTATGTTTCAGTCCGTCAGTATAGGGGTGTCAATTTCATGAGCAGGGTTGTGAAACAACTTCGCTTGGTTCCAACCGGTTGCTGGCCATTCTTCGATCAAAGCACATTGCATACCCATGTAAATGTACATTTACAATAATGACAAAAAACATGCGCCATCCCGCCTGGAAATGCATGTGTGTCAAGCAGGAACTATATTTTTTTCACCAGACAATGTATGTATATATATATTTATTGCTCTCTCTCTCTATATATATAGAGTACACACTTCTTGGGGGCGCAAGGCGCACAAACCTGAAGCTCTGAAAGGAGTGGAAAAGGAGCGAGAGTTGCGGCCAGGACTGGAGGCAAGCCCTAGGAGCCTTCACAGTGATAAACTGCAGCCTTGTGAATGCAGTGGCAGTCTAACTGAATAACTACTGTAATCATTGCAGTAAAACTAGGGTTGAAGCTGCTCATAGTGACGGACTGAAACTGTGTGAAATGAAGTTGCATTCTGACTGAATATTCAGGTTTTGAAGCTGCTCATAGTGACGGACTGATTTTTTGTTGTGCATGCCGTGGCATTCTAACTGTGTTTTTTGTTTTAATGGCATCCTCTAGGTTTTGCCATTTCAGCTTTGTCAAAATCATGTGCAAACTTGAACTCTGCCCGAAACCGAACAACCACAACTGTTTTTTCCACCTCTCAGAGACTCAGAGAGCTCTAGAATTACCATATGGTCCATGTAGCAGTGACCGCTACAACTACCTTGATGAGCCATTCGCCCTGTGTCGCGTTGTAAATGCTTAAACTGATACATGCATGGCTTAATCTTTGAGATAAGCATATGACTACTGGCAGGATGAACAGTTTCAACCTCACGTGTGCTGTGCTCGACTCTGAGGCAGCACATGTGGTGGACATCACCACAACAGTTTAAACTAGTTTAAACCCAGCACAGCTTTCCATGCAGCTGATCATTCTGCAAACAGCAACCCCGCAACAGAGACGTTCTCTCAAACCTTCCCTTTCTCAGCCACTGCTGTATTAATGGGTAAAGCAAAGAAACACAATAATTAATAATTATTACTTACAAGATAAAACCCTTTGCAAAAGGTGATTTTGAAGACCTAGCGAAACTGTTGATATAGCAGAGCCCAGTCCTTACTGTATATGAATTTGGTTTTTGGAAAACTTGCATTCTAAGCTTCAGTCCGTCACTAAACGCATAGTAATAATTAGCTCAATGCGTGACCCCATCCAAGCTATCCAAGAGACCACCCCCTGTTCCTGCGGTGTCCGTCTTCAGCGCTCCTTCGCCGTTTAGACCTCGGCGTTTAGACATCGGTGACAAGAGACATCTCCGATGGGCGGCTGGGCGTTGCAAAAGGCCACCGAGCCGATAGGGCCATGCCAGCCTGGGGCCAAAGGTCTGGAGCGAAAACCGACAGGATGTGGACATGCGACCGACCAACCGAAGAAAAATCAAGTTCACTTGTGATCTATTTCTTGGTTGTTGAATGTTGCCTAAATGACATCAAAAAACTCTGAGCAACACAATGAGGGGACTGTGGGTTCATAGGTGTTCAATGGTGGTCATCAGGTAATATACATGTTCACAGCTTTCAGGGCTGTGGCTTGTTTGGATTCAGTGGTGCCATGAAGTAGTTTGGCATGTTTTTTCCATGTGATGTTTGCATGTTTTCGGCATGTTCGTCATCCAGTCATGGCAATCGGATTCGATGTTTTTGATGATGAACGTCCCATGCTTGGGACCGGGACATTTTACTCCCCGACAGACATGCACCGATGATTCCAAGGATGACGTCAATCGATGTACATGCAGGCAATGCAAAATCACATCGGTACGGAGGGAGGAGGAGGAGGAGGAGGAGGAAAAGGACGATTGGAAGTGTCCGATTGTTCCCCAAATCTCGTATTGAGATGGCTGAAGCCCGCCGGGCCCACGGACCAGGCAGCTGCAAAGGAAGTGGTCACAGCCATGTTGAACAGTGCAAGGCCCAAGGTCGAGAGACGAAGGGCAGTGAGTGACCCGGAATGAAAGATGTCCACCCACATGGCAAACAAGGAATACTACTCGTAACAAGAAGCTACCAACTTGGAGGCCACCGCCATTAGGTGGAGGCCGTCGCTATTAGGTTGAAGGCCATCGCTATTAGGTTGGAAGCCATCGCTATAAAGTTGCAGGCCACCGCCATTAGGTGGAGGCCATCGCTATTAGGTTGGAGGCCATCGCTATTAGGTTGGAGGCCATCGCTATAAAGTTGCAGGCCACCGCCATTAGGTGGAGGCCCTCGCTATTAGGTTGGAGGTCATCGCTATTGGGTTGGAGGCCATCGCTATTAGGTTAGAGGCCATCGCAATTAGGTTGGAGGCCATCGCTATTAGGTTGGAGGCCATCGCTGTTAGGTTGGAGGCCATCGCTATTAGGTCGGAGGCCATCGCCATTAGGTGGAGGCCATCGCTATTTGGTTGGAGGCCATGATGACGATGAGGATGAGGATGAGGATGAGGATGAGGATGAGGATGAGGACGAGGATGAGGATGATGATGATGATGATGATGATGATGATGATGATGATGATGATGACGAGGTCGCGGTGGCGGTAGCCGCATAAACAAACTAGGGCACCAAACCCAAATGTTCACTCTGGGCGCACCGGCCATCCCTACACCAAAACATACCCATCACCAAGGGACAAAGTATGCAGCCACTCACTCAGCACAGCCCAGCAAAGTGACAAAAAGACGTAAAAAGGAAGAACCAGGAATATCACCAAGACCGAGCCATCACCCCAAAGTGGCATATAGCGGTCTGATAGACGTCCCACTCGGAGTCTGGGCAGGCTGGCCGTCACTCCCCCGGGGTGTCTAAGGCCCTGACCCGCGGGACCAACAAAACCCGGCAAACGGTCACCCAGTTTGCATCCCTGCTTGCACATTCAGCTATCGTTCCCCCTGTCTTGCCGTTTCATCTTGTACCTCTTGGCAGGCACAGCCAAGCCCAACTAGACCCCCTTCAGATCAGCCACGAGTCACCACAGGGATGACACCGTAGGACCCAAAAAAACGGGAAACCAAACCAAGCCACGACCCAACCAGTTCACCCACAACAACGTACGGGTCAGTAACATTGTTGTTGGGCCAACTCAACGTCCCTTACGCCGAAACCGGCAGGAGTCGCGTGCTCCCGTTCTCCCCATAGACCAAAGAAACAAAAATCGAGAAGCCAACCTGGTGAAAACTGGAGAAACGCCAGACCCGAAGGACCAGATTGGGTTCGCCCTGTCATCCGTAAAGGATCCAACCTACAACCCAAGATACCGCTTACAGACAAGGTTGCCCCGGTGGCGCCCACGTGGAGGGCTGCCGCATTTTGCCACCAAGGTTGGAGGCCATCATTAGGTTGGAGGCCATCACCAATAGGTTGGAGGCCATCGCTATTGGGTTGGAGGCCATCGCAATTAGGTTGCAGGCCATCGCTATTAAGTTGGAGGCCATCGCTATTAGGTTGGAGGCCATCGCCATTAGGTGGAGGC